ACGACGAGATAACATAAATTAATTCTTTACTCAGGTAAGTTCTGAGTGTTTGATTAATTTTAGTTCACAATGGATAAGTGTCGTGTTCTACAAGTGACTCAAGAGTAAGTATTCATACAAACAATTAGCCCAATAATTTTAGACTTTGTTCAACAAAAAATTGACGTATTCAAAGTTTTAACGCAGTTTGGATCTATTTGACAAATAGATGAAGAAATCAGTCTTTGTCATGAATTTTTTATGTCTACGGTATGTCCCTGGATTGTTTTACAAGAGGAAAAACTTTTTATTAAGTTTTTGCTTGTTCTAAAATGATTAATCCCTTTTACACTTTTCCAAATTTCCATACCGTTTTAGAGAAAAATACAAAAATATGAAAATAAGGTTGATTTTTTCCAAAAATCTATTTGAATAAATTTACAGATAATTTTAATTTATTATAAGAGATCTCAATGACTTTTTTAAATAAAAATGTATTACAATATCTTGAAGGGATGCGACGCATCACCCGCATTAATGAAAGCTTCGCCGCTGGACACCCTGTACAGGGTGGTCGAAATTGGTCTGTTTTAACAGAGAAAACCTATTTCCTGACTAGATAGAGCAAAACCGACATATATGTCATGGGCTCGATTTCTGAGACACATTTAATGGCGTAAACCGCCTCGCCTGTTGATATCTTCACTGCCAACTGAGATACATAATCTTTTTGAATTTTTTACCATTTGGAAAATTGCCCATAACTTTTGTATTTCGCTGAATAATAAAATTCCGTAAAAACGTTCTTAAGACACTTTTTTAAGGACAATCCAGTGGCGTACACAGTTTTTTTTCTGTACTTGCTCTTTTCGTCAGAAATAATAAAAAATATATTTTTTTAAATGGAAATCATAGCTGGCTATGAACTTAAAAAAATGCTGGCGTTTAATCCTTTCCAACGATATAAAGTTATGTGTATTTATTTCTAAGAATGAGAGAAATATTAGTTTTTTATCTTTGTATCGAAGCAGGCCTTGATTTTGTGTTGACCTAGTTACCTAATTATATTTTATTACTGTTTAATATTCTATATTATTATTTCTATGCATAATTAAATACTTTTGAAAAGGCTTTGATTCTATATTAGTATTACCAATTACAATTAAAACGCCAGGGTTACAACTTGACTATTAAATGGAGAATTTAAAGAGATTTGGATTGGAACAAGGGGCCCCATATCTAGCCTGCTAGGTCTTGTGATTTAACACCTTTCGACTTTTTTATGGGGGAAATTAAAGGTCCTTATATATAAGGGAAGAACCATTGGGACGAGAGAAGTATTGGAGGAGGCTACTAGGCAAGCTTTTGGACTTATTACACCAGCTCACCTAATAAATCGTTATAACTCTGTGCGCAAAAGATGTTTATTGTGTATTCAACAAGGAGGTGTTCAGTTTGAACATCTTTGATGATTTTTTTAGAAAATTATATTGGTCACTTAAAAATCCCCTTTTTAGTTTTGTTCTTTGTTTATTGTATCGATTTCAATTGTAATTACTAATACTAATATAGAATGTTGATTTACCTTTTCCAAAGTCTTTAATTATGCAGATAAATAATAATATAGAACATTAAATTGTGATAAAAAATAATTAGGCAAATAGGTCAATACAAAATCAAGCCCCGCTTCAATAAAAAAAGGCTTAAACGCAAGCATTTTTTTAAGTTCATAGTCTACTATGATTTCCATTTAAAAAATTATATTTTTTATTATTTCTGAAAAAAAGGGCAAGCATAGAAAAAAACTGACTACGCCACTGGATTGTGCTTAAAAAAGTGCCTTAAGATCGCTTTTACCGAATTTTATTATTCCGCGAAATAAAAAAGTTATGGGCAATTTTCAAAATGGTAAACAAATCACAAAGGTATCTCTGTTGGCAGTGAAAATATCAACAAGCAGTTTACGCCATTAAACGTGTCTCAGAAATCGAGCCTATGACATCTATGTCGGTTTTGCTCTATCTAGTCAGGAAATAGGGTTTCTTTGTTAAAACAGACCAATTTCGACCACCCTGTAGACAAAAACGAGGCTATAATGGAAATGGAACTATCGCTTTCGTTATTTTAACACTTGTTAATTTCCATAAAGAACATCAAGAGTAAAACTGTTATTCTTCAGTCTAATCATTAGACAGAAAGAATCTGCTCCAAAAATTTTAACCCAGGAATTTTTTTTTCACTGCTATATTGAATTTAATCTAAAGTTACTGGGCTAAGGCTAATATATCTACTAATATTAAATTAATAAAAAATATTAACTAACACCCTGTTTTAGCTCAAATAAGAGAGTAAAACTCTACGTAAGTAATACTAATCAATAATATCTAATAAATAGGAACAAAAAAGAAAACGAAAATATTGAGAAGCTTATACAGTGTAAGTTTTAAAATAAGTGCAAATATTTTCAGGGCTGGTAGATGTAGATCAAAGAAACATATTCTTTACCGTTTTTCAAATAAGTCCAAAATAACCGAGTTAAAGTTTGAAAATTGAAAAAAAATTTAAAAAAAAATTTTTTTAAAAAACTTTGAGAGTCACCAGATTTTTCTCCATTTCCATTCCTTTTAGTACCGTAAAGCTTCATTCAGAACCTTGCAATTAGTGGTTTCAATTAGCGTAGAATTTGTGCCTTTAATTTCAATGTAAGCGTTTAGAACGTCAAAATTAGTGGTAGACATTTTCAATTGGTAGAAAAAGTTATCAAACTTAACTTTTCCACTAATTATAATTCAAAATTTGCGAGAAATGTCAATTTGGCCTTTGATTATCATCAAAGAAAAATGTGGTTGGAAATCAAAAGTTTATTGTTTTATAAGCTATAGCCTTTCTCTATGGATACAACTGATTACAAGTTGTTGCTAGGATATTCTATTAATTTTAATTGTGTTTTTTAGACACTGTGAATGATCGTAAACTAAAGAGTATAAATTGTAATTGAAACCACTAATTGCGAGGTTCTGAATGAAGTTTAACTATGGTAATATCGGAGAATAAATTATTATCAAGAAATTATAATGTAGAAAAATTAGAGTTGAGGGTTGGAACCTTTGGTGTTACACAGCAAAATAAAAACACTAAATCACCACAATACACCAAAACACTTTTACTTTTACACTGGACGCGCGTTTCGCTAACCATGTTAGCATCATCAGCAGATGATTATAAAACTGATGATGCTAACATGGTTAGCGAAACGCGCGTCCAGTGTAAAAGTAAAAGTGTTTTGGTGTATTGTGGTGATTTAGTGTTTTTATTTTGCAATGTAGAAAAATTTGCGGTGAACAGTTCTAAAAATATTTCTAAAATATACAGGAAATTTTAAAAGAAAATGCATGATTTTCAACGTCTTTTTTGCGAAAAAAAACCTCATAGACCTTGGGGTCGAAATATGCCACCCCTAAAAATATTTATACTAATTTAAGACTCGCTCTGTATAACTTGGAAGTTATAGTTGGATTTTAGTTTTAAGACTATGAGTTTTGAAATATTTTCTTTTTTTATTAATTAAATAACACATTTGATTATTTTTCGCCATGTACCCAAAGTCAATAATTATCCTTATTTCAAAATGTGCACATTAGTCACACACACATGATAACAGACTAAAAGCCGACTATATAGTTACTAAAACCCGTCTTATATCTATAATCCCAATAAAATATCTAATTTAAGTACAAGGGAATTTAAAAAAATCGAGAACACATTAATATATTAATCTGTTAAAATCTGATATTAACTTAATATGTATTCTATATCTTAAGATTTTTATATTAAATCTGGTCTGTATTGAAAGTCCTGTTACAAAAACTAAGCTATCCAGTGTATTATTCAGAATGTAGATGTTTGTGGAAATTATATTCATTGATAGTACAATGTGACAAAAAAAACTTTATAATCAGAAATAAGTGCTTTGCATGGTGACATATGACACATTTCATGACAAATTACATTAGAAAATTTTATGTCATATAAAAATCCGCTAGATCATAAAACTTCTTGATCGCTCAATATATGCCTATTTCTTGACCAAAGGCTTATTAAACTATTATTTTTTGTTTCACAAAAATTCTACTCAATTTTTACATAAAGAACAACTTAAAATTTCCATTTCTAAATTAACATTTCAATATAAAGATGTGTTCAAAATATTAAATCAAATTTGTTCAAAAAACCTCTTAAAAAATAAATTTTTATATAATTTAAATTAAAAAGAGGTTATTGCATATTGATTTGAATTTTACCCCTGTAGGTTGCCCGTAATACTGTTCGGCAATGACAGTTAACCATGGATTTATTTTAAACGTTAAGGGTGTATTCCGTTGCTTACCTTGGTTATCGTTTTATGTTCCGTTTCTATCGGTTTCCTGAAAGTTTTCTTATTACGGAACACGGTTCCTGAAAAATTCGGTTATAACTGTCACCAAACTAACCAGCGCGAGAAGGATGTTTTTTTTTGGTTTTGTTTGTCAATCAATGTCATTTATGTGACAGAAATCAAGCAAATATTGGAAGTTCGAGTGAAATTCTCATTTAATTTCTAAAATTTGTAATAATATTTTGTATTTACATCTAAAAACAATGGCGGTAGGCAGTAAAGGTAAATAAATTTCAATAACTAAACATAATTAGTTTTTAGGACCATTTAAACTTATCATGCAGCCATTGTTTCTTAAAGTCAGGAACATTTAAAGAAAACATGAAAAACAAGACAAGTAATCGTGAATCTTTTGTAGATTTGTTTATTTATTATTGATCTGTTTTAATATTGGACCTGCAAATCTTCACTTGAGCTGTCTAACGAGTGGAACAGTTTATTAATAAAGCACTTTTCAGTATTAAACTCCATTGAAAAGAAGAAGCAAACGTAAAAGCAGAGAATAGGTACATTAAAAATGCATAAAATATAAATTTTATAATAGAGGTATTGAAATTTAGGAAACGTCAACATTTGACGTTTCCAGTATTTTACCAAACCTTTCTGTATCAAACCGATGTTTTTCAGGAACCGCTCTTTACCATAGTTTACCGGTCTGGTTCGCATAGTTTTGCAACGGAACACAGCCTAAGTTTGAAAGTACTTTATTACAAAAAAAAATAGTAAATGAAAAAAAATGTTGTGAAACGTTAAATCCTGGACGACAGAACTCACTGTCATGGTATACTTGATATTTATATTAATTTCTATAATCTTCTTTATTTTTTTAGGTTTAAAATGAAGAATAAAGTGAAGAAATTTCTCCGGTGATAACGATAATATAAATATGTAGTAATAAATATTTGATTATTTTTTTCTTTTATTTAAAAACCTTTACTACGCCATTCATAGTAAAAAGTTTACGAATGAGATTCCTTGTGTTAAACACATTATTTAGCCAACTACAATAATTATAAATCCCGTAATAAACAGAGAGACTTTGCCACAATAAAGTAAACGGAAACGATTTAGATTAGAATGGTATGTGCCCACCTAAAAACAATTAAAAGGATTAGATGTTTATCACACAGCCCATGGTAACGTCAAGTACGCTATAAAATCGCTGATAAGAATAAATAACGAAAAAAGTCGGTTAGATATAAAAAATCGTTACTTTTTGATTAACGCATCTTCTACAGATGTCAGTTTTTGATGATCTTCGAGTCGTATCTTCTGGAATGAGTCTTTTCTGGCCACTATAGGCAGGGTGGTATCTGAAATAAGAAACAATAAATTATTAGCACACCTATGGAGTAGTGATGGGCATTACGATTCTTTTTAGTGAATCGAATCACACGATTCAATTTCTCATATTGAATCAACTCCTACGATTCGTTCATTTGAACGAACCACATGCACAATTTACGTTTCATAAAAACAAGAATCGTAACTGGCATTACCGGCGATAATTTAGTAGGACAATTACGTAAGGGACCAGAAAAAGAAATATACAGTTCTTTCATTTGTTTTTCAACACTTTATGACACTGGCGTAATTCCGCATATAATTTTACAAAAAAAATGACAGCGATCTTCATTTTATAACCATCGCTGACGCCGCTTTTTATCACATTGAGCAGAGGCCAACTATATTTATTTGGAGCATAAAAACACGATTTCGTCTTTTACCCCGACGTTTAATAGTTGGTAATATTATTTTAACAAAAATATTTACGTGAAATTTAAATACCTTACAGATACTCCCGTACTAAGCACAGTATAAATTAGTTTTTTCTAGTAAACAACTTTCTTATCGTTTGTATTTTACGCCCATGATATTTTTTAGGGCTTTTGTTCAAGTTTAAATATTGGTGCCAGCATTAATTTATGCCTATAACACCGCCGGCGCCGTAGCAACGAACGATCGCATTGTGATCCGATTCAATTCTCACGATTCTTTTTTACAGCTAATCGTTCAAATCTTATGGATCCGTGCGGGCCACGATTCAATTGAACGAACCGTATTGTAACCAATGAATCGATTCTCCCGACTCTTTGAACGCACGATCGCATTGTGATCCGATTCAATTATCACGATTCTTTTTTACGGCTCATCGTTCAAATCTTATGGATCCGTGCTTGCCACAATCCAGTTGAATGAACCTGATTGCAAGCAATGAATCGAATCTCACGATTCGTTTTTAACACTCTTTCAAATGAACGAATCCAATCTTTGCCCACCTCTACTAAGGAGTAGCTACTTCTATAATATGTATTTGTTATCAATGAATAAAGTTTATAGAGTTGCAATATTCTTTCGAGTTAGTTATGTATTTGATAATTATAATAGTTCTCAAGTCACCTGAATAGCGTAATTTTCTTAATCAATTCTTTTTTACGACTCCATCATTAATTTTTATTTTATATAGAAGTATGTACTAATGTTCTACATATTGATTGTAACAAGAACAAAGATTAAACAAAGTTGTTTGCCAGACCAAATAACCGACAGACCTAGATTAGGAACTTGGACCCGCACTGAATCGACTCGGACCGGTCGACTCGACTAAGAGATCGGTAAGTTTTGGTTTTATATAGTATACATAGAAATAGCATTTACTTCTATGTATACTATTATGCTTACATTATGCATGTTTACATTTATTTCTATAACCAAACCAAATCCAAACTACATGTGCCGATAGCTCTTAGTCCAGTCGACAGGTCCGAGTCGATTCGGCGAGGATCCTTTAGGCTGACGTTCTGGTTTAATTATACCGTATGATCAAAAAAAAAAACGGCGTCCAGTTGGCTGCGATCTTCATTTCATAGCCATCGTTGACACCATCGTGGTTCACCTATAACTTTTTTATTTTTTCAGATAAAAAAACGAGATTTGGTATGTCAGTATATGACATAAATTAGGATTGACTGAGGTATACAATTGTTTCTGGTCACTTCCTGTTTCACCGAAAATGACTACAACTTTTGATTTTTAAATGGCACCCTAGGTATTTTTTTACTTTATTCGATAGAAAATGGCATTCTGAATAGAATGACATATCATATGTCAACTTTTAACATTCTCGCTTAATAAAAAATCGTATTTTAAAATTCAATCTAGAGTGCCATGGCTATGTTAAAAACACTAATTCTTAATCAAGGAGCCTTGAAAAAATAGATTTGATCGTCAAATGTTTTTAGTGCCTTGTCCTGGCCAGTTAGAAAATGCTCAAATCGTATTTTTAATCATATCTCAATTTTTTCAAATGGAACGAGGGTGGCTCGTTAGCATATTTGGAAAAAAACATTTTTTTACTAATAATTTGATACCACACACTTGGTATTTCAAGTCAAATTTTCGTTCCGAACCGCAAGTTATAATTTCAAATAAACCGTATGCGAAAATGTCAAAAGTTGACATATGATATGTCATTCTATTCAGAGTGTTATTTTCTATCGAATAAAGTAAAAAAATTCCGAGGGCGCCATTTAAAAATCAAAAGTTGTAGTCATTTCCGGTGAAACAGGAAGTGACCGAAAACAATTGAATACGTCAATCAATCCTAATTTATGTCATATACTAACATACCAAATTTCGTTTTTTATATGAAAAAATAAAAAAGTTATAGGGGGGTGAACTACTTTTGAGACGCACCCAGTATACTAGGCCTGGTCACTTCATCTGCGCGGTGTGCATTTTAATGCATGCGACAGAAATAAACATAAATGACCGGTTGATAGACAGAGAGACAACTGTGATACACAACTGTTACTGTGATATATGGTTTCGTTGGACAGACTGATACCCTATCAGCAACAAAGAGTGTTAGTCGGTATTTAGTGTCTAGGGCCCGTATTTATAGTTGCATCTCGAGACGCCAAGACGGTCTTGGGCTCTCGAGAGCGGAATCCACAGAATACACGAGCAAACGTCATTTTGGAGATTGCGATTTTCATTTTGGAGATTGTCATTTTGGATAGTTTATGTGATCTGTAGATAGTTTCTTAACCGCACTTTTTTTGTAAACAAAGTAAATCCCTTGTAAATCCGTTTTGCGTTTTGTCTGATTAAACAGTTTTGAATATGTTAGAAGAGTTTGAGGATATTTTTGGACCACGTGGAAGAAGAAAATCTTCTTCGAGTTCCAAAAAGATATATACGGGATGCAGGAAATCCAAAAGAAATGTTTAGCGAGGGGGATTTATGCCGATATAGGTTTAACAAGGCTACAATTACAGAAACTATTTTACTTCTTATAAATCGAAGACTTGCAAAAACCTACCAATCGTGGTTTACTCATTCTTCCCGTTATTCAATTACTAATTTGTTTACAGTTTTATGCGACTTGTAATTTTCAGATGGTAAATGGAGACTTGTGTGGTGTTAGCCAACCTACAATAAGCCAGATAGTCAAGAATAATGCAATAATGTGGAAGTATTTCAAAATTGCAAAAGTTTTTTTAGTCTAAATGTTCAGGTCCCAAAAGGGAAATTATGGATATTATAGTTGGATATCCAGGGTCAAGTCATGATAGTGTTATATTCGATCCAAGTAATTTAAGAATGCTAATGGAAAGGAGTGATATTCCTGGTTTACTTCTTGGAGACAATGCATATAGATGTAGGCCATCTCTATTGACTCCTGTTCTACAGCTAGGTAATCAACAAGAAACCAGGTATAACTCTGCCCATAGAAGAACGCAAAATGTTGAAAGGCTATTTGGGACTTAGAAAAAACGTCTTCCATGTCTCCGAGGTTTACAAAACAACTGTTGCTATTATTTGTGCAACAGTTGTTCTTCATAATATTGGTTCAAGGGAAAATTTAGATAATTTTGAAGATGCTAATTTACACATTCCAATTATAAATAAAAAGGAAGAGGGTTAGATTTTTGAAGAAATCTTATTCAACATTTTGCAAATTAATATATTTATTGTATTAATATATGTATATCTAGTAATTATGTAATATATTATATAATAATTTGATTTACTTTTCTATTAGTGTTAAGTTAGTATTTATATATTTACATGTAACATAATTGTAAGTAATTCCTTATATTAGTTATCTTAAAAATACTGTTTTTCTATACTTAAATAATATATGATTTCTTAGTAGTTTTACGCTCACTATGACCAGACAGCTAAGTGCTTGTTTTAACTGGTCACACAGAATTTTCCCACCAATACATTAAAACTAAAAAAAATGTCTTTATTTTCATCATGAATATTTACATAAATATCATATCACATAATACATAATATACAATATTGGATGTATACACTGTATAACCTATAATTTTCAAGATTTTATTGCTTGGTGTAAATTCTGCATTCTTATTGAGTTGACCACTCTATATAAAGTCGATACTCCATGTTTTATAGTTTTATTTCAAATAATATTTCACAATACACATTCTATGATTATTGCGTTTTTACTGCTTCCTTATTTCTTGTCATCTAGATGACATTCTTCTCTCTTCTTTTTTTGCTAGTCTGCTAGCCGATAAAATTTTTTTATACTTCCTTTGTTCCATTTCTATTATGTTCTTTGACCTCTTCTCTCAATTTTTCAGATAATCGAGTACTTTTCATTCTCTACTGTCTATAACCTCACTTGTCCATTTTCAAATAAATCTTCAATCCTCAGAATATATCCATATAATAATTCAGGTGTTTTTTTCGCCAGTGAATTTATTCACAGATGTATTTATAGCTCTTTCTATATTCTTAATATATGTATCCCATTTGTTATCATCTGCACAAGCCGAAGCCAGTATCATTGGAATAATAATGCTGTTCAACCATTTATGGTTGTATCACGTAAATTCACTCAAATGTTCTGCTATTAAAATGGATACCCTCTTGATAATCTGGCTTATTGTAGGTTGGCTAACACCATGCAAATCTCCACTTACTATCTGAAAATTAGAAGTCGCATAAAATCGTAAACAAATTAATAATTGAATAACGGGGGGAATAGGTAAACCACGATTGGTAGGTTTTTGCAAGTCTTCAATTACAAGAGGTAAAATAGTTTCTGTAATTGTAGCCTTGCTAAACCTATATTGGTATTTAAATTCCCCCTCGCTAAACATTTCTATTGGATTTCCTGCATCCCTTATATATCGTTTTGCAACTCGAAGACGATTTTCTTCTTCCACATGGTCCAAAATATCCTCAAACTCATCTAGCATATTCAAAACTGTTTAATCAGACAAAACGGATTTACAAGGGATTTATTTTGTTTACTAAAAAAGTTAGGTTAAAA